ATATTAATATTCCGTTTACAAAAAATCGGATATTTAATAATAATTCTGTTAATATTTACAATTAACAAATAAATTTTGTCCAAAAAATTAATCAATCAATCGATCATTTGACCGAATCCGAATCCGAATCCAAATCCGAAGCCGAAGCCGTAGCCGAAGCCGAGCCGAGCGAGCGAGCGACGACGACGGTGCGAGACTTGTCTTCTTCTTAAATCTTTAATAGCTAGAAGAAGTACAATTGTATATATACCTACCTAAATCTCTTCCTCTTTCAATATGAGACAATATCCCTTTGTCAAGGAGGGAAACTCAAATATTTTAAATTTTCTTTCATTTCCCATTCACCCTCTTTTAAGCTATATTTATGCTTAAAAAACCCAACCTTCCCCCACATGAATGGGGAATGGCTATATCACGGAAATATGCATGAAAAACTGTGTGATTCGCAAGCAAGGATTAATTATATCAGGATAAATAGGTTTCCCTTTGAACTTTCCGTAGTGAACTCATGTCGGATATACTCGGTCAATCGGTAGATTTGATATCTTTGAACCGTCGAACTTTGGTGTATACCTAGACAATCATAAGTCACACAACTGACCCTTAACCGTCTTTGGCTCTCATTGTTGTGTTCGTTTCAGCCATGAACACCGCCTGGTTTAATAAGTGCGTAGAGAATTGGTCTTACAAAATTCTCCTTGAAGCGGCTAACACTTCACACTTACATAGGTGATTCCTAAACATGTCATCCCGTAGATACATTATTTGATATATCCCGTATCAAATTTAGAAATCATTAAAAAGCTTTAATGCTTTATCCTTGGTACTGAACATTATCTCATCACGAGAATGGACCAAACTTTTAGTTGATAATGTTGAACCGTCATTAATGACTTTGTTTGATCTCCTTGAACCTAGATCTCGGGATCTCCAGTCTTCTAGGTAGAGTTACCGCCACAATGGCTTGTTCTCGGCCATAGTCCCATTCCCCTCGATGATTTCTCAACTACCTCTCTAGTTAGGCCTTTTGTAAGT